TACCTGCTGCTCTCTGAGGGGCTCCTGAAGGAGGATTTGGGGAAGGGTGAGGGCAGCCGGGCCTGGGCAGGGGGTTTGTGGGGCTGGGGCTGGGCTGTGCCTCAGTTTCCCCTCTCACTCTGCCCACAGGACCACGAGTGGCCAGGGGCACAGGGACACTGTGCCCTCCACACCCACCCAGCCCCGCAGCTGGGGGTCAGCCTGGGTAGGCTCAGCCCAGGGGTGGCTGTAATTACCTGGGCTCAGCTGTAATTAGCACTCGGAGCTGGACACAATATACGACCCTGATGTCAGCCTGGGGAGGGAGTAGCCATTCACAAACTGCCCCCAACACCCTTGTGTGTCCCCAGGGTGGGGTCTGAAGGGGCCATGGGAGGGGAACACACAGGTATGAACAGGGATGGCGGTGTCAGGTCCTTGGGCAGGACCCCCAGGGCAATGGGAGCCTCTGTCCAGACTGTCCCCTGGCCTCAAGAGAGGACACCAGCCACCCCAGCCACCAACCTCCAGGCCTGTGTCACCTCCATCCCTAAGAAATGCCACCCCAATCACCTTGTTAGGAGGCAGAGGTTATTAAGAAGAGGAACGAAGAAGTTTTCCAGGTTGTGGAAGCCCGGGGAGATGCAGCACCAGCACGGATCAACATGGGAGCAAGGGAAGACCCCATGAACCAGTCCTGAGGTGGTGACCCTGGAGCTAACCAGTGGGCTGCCTGGCTGTGCTGTCCCCAGGGTGCCCCACGGCCGGCGTGACACGGCGAGGGGTGCGCAGTGACAGCGGGGGACAGCGACGGGACGTGCAGGGGTGGTACTGGGGAGTGTCCTGCACGGTGACGGTGTGTGACACCCCAGGCCGCGCAGTGACGGTGACAGTGGGTGACACCCCGTAGGCCACCTGATGACATGGCACTATTTGACAGCCCTTGCACCAGGCACTGACGGTGACTGTGTGACAACCCATGGGAGCTGCAGTGACACTGCATGGCACCCGGCGGCCTCGCGGTGATGGTGACACCCTGTGCACTGCGCGGTGACAGTGACACCATGTGACACCCTGGGGAGCAACAGTGAAGCTGTGCAGCACCGCGGAGCTGTGCTGTGTGACACGAGTGGGGCTGTGCAGCCACGGTGACACTGTGTGACACCCCGGGGAGGTGTGCAGTGACAGCGACAGGGACCGTGCAGGGACGATGACACTGTGCTAACACCATGCAGTGACAGTGACACCCGTGACAACAGGCACTGTGCAGTGACACTGGTGACACCAGTGCCAGGCAGTGGCATCACACTCAGACCCC